GTGTCCAGGTAGGACCTGAGTCTCCAAGTCTCCAGGTCCCACCTACGTGTCCATGTAGGACCCAGGTCCCCAAGTCTCCAGGTCCCACCCCCCTGTCCGTGTAGGACCCAGGTGTCCAGGTAGGACCTGAGTCTCCAAGTCTCCAGGTCCGTCCCCCCTGTCCGTGTAGGACCCAGGTCTCCAGGTCCAGGTAGGACCCAGGTCCCCAAGTCTCCAGGTCCGTCCCCCCTGTCCGTGTAGGACCCAGGTCTCCAGGTCCAGGTAGGACCCAGGTCCCCAAGTCTCCAGGTCCGTCCCCCCTGTCCGTGTAGGACCCAGGTCCCCAAGTCTCCAGGTCCAACCCCCGTGTCCATGTAGGACCCAGGTGTCCATGTAGGACCCAGGTCTCCAGGTCCAGGTAGGACCCATGTCCCCAAGTCTCCAGGTCCAACCCTCACATTCAGCTCCAGGTCAGCCCCAAGTCTCCAGGTAGGACCCAGGTGTCCAGGTAGGACCTGAGTCTCCAAGTCTCCAGGTCCAACCCCCAAGTCCATGTAGAACCCAGGTGTCCATGTAGGACCCAGGTGTCCAGGTAGGACCTGAGTCTCCAAGTCTCCAGGTCCAACCCCCAAGTCTCCAGGTCCAACCCCCAAGTCTCCAGGTCCAACCCGTGACCCGGCCCCCGTGCCCGGCGGGTGGCAGCCCCTCCTCTCCCTCCCTCCCGTGCAGGATCCTGCTGACGGTGGTGGTCATCTTCCGCATCCTCATCGTGGCCATCGTGGGCGAGACCGTCTACGAGGACGAGCAGACCATGTTCATGTGCAACACCCTGCAGCCGGGCTGCAACCAGGCCTGCTACGACAAGGCCTTCCCCATCTCCCACATCCGCTACTGGGTCTTCCAGATCATCCTGGTCTGCACGCCCAGCCTCTGCTTCATCACCTACTCCGTCCACCAGTCGGCCAAGCAGCGGGAGCGCCGCTACTCCTTCCTCTACCCGCTCCTGGACGCCAAGAAGACCCCCAAGAACACCCCCGGGACGTCGGGCCCCGAACTCCTGCCCAAAGACGACGCTTTGGATACCAAAGAACTTCCCGGGCCTCTCCCGCGGCCTCCTCGGAGTTCTAAAGCCAAACGCCAGGAGGGGATCTCCCGTTTTTACGTCATCCAGGTGGTGTTCAGGAACGCTCTGGAGATCGGGTTCTTGGCCGGGCAGTATTTCCTCTACGGTTTCAACGTCCCGGCCATTTTCGAGTGCGACCGCTCTTTCGAGTGCGACCGCTACCCCTGTGTGAAGGAGGTGGAGTGCTACGTGTCCCGGCCCACCGAGAAGACCGTCTTCCTGGTCTTCATGTTCGCCGTCAGCGGCGTCTGCGTCCTCCTCAACCTGGCCGAGCTCAACCACCTGGGCTGGCGCAAGGTCA